CTTCTCTTTCTGCTTTTTCCTTTCCCTTTACTTTTATCGTTTGCCTTGCTTCCCCCCTTTCCTCTACTTTTATCACTCTTAATTTTATGCTCAGTTTAAAGTTTCACTCGAAGCAACGTGTTTCTATTTAAACAACGAGGGAAAGATTACATCTGTCGCTTTCAAGATACACTATTGACTTTTGCAATGTTTGCTTCCATCTAAGCAAATTGACGATTCCTTTCTTTTTTTTCACTTCTATATGTCTTGTGTTACTGCATTGTTGACGAGGATCTCGGTGTCGTTGTCATTATGCACATCGGGTAGGCATTATGGTTTTTAAAAGTGCCAAAATGTCACCTACGTAGGAAAAGAAACGAAAGTAAGTTTAGAATCGTTCAAAATTAGATATTTTCCAAACTCCGTGTTTGCCTTAATAATAAAAAATAAAAATAAAACAACTTTTTTTCCTTGTTATCTGTCGGACATGCGCACTTTGACAGGTTAAAAATTAGAATTTTCCAATCTCCTTTTTGTGTGGAAAAATTCAAAATTAGAATTTTCTAATCGCCTTCTCAAGTTGACAAGTTCAAAATTACAATTTTTCAATCTCCTTTTCATATTGACAATTTCAAAATTAAAATTTTTTAATTTCTTTTTCGTATTGACAGGAAAGAAATTAAAATTTTCTAACCGCCCTCCCAAGTTGATAGGTTCAAAATTAGAATTTTTCAATCTCTTTTTTATATTGATAGATAGAAAATTAGAATTTTCCAATTTCCTTTTTGTATTGACAGACCCAAAATTAAAATTTTCTAATCGCCTTCTCAAGCTGACAAGTTCATATTGTAATTTTTCAATCTTCTTTTCATATTGACAGTTTTAAAAATTAAAATTTTCTAATCCCTTTTTCGTATTGACAGGTACAAAATTAGAATTTTCAAAATTTCTTTTTCGCCTTAAAATGAAATAAAAATTTTTCCCTTGCTGCTTGCCGCACAAGCTCACTTTGACAGGATGATATGTCCCGGAAAGGGATATATTTGTTCGAAGTAGCAAAGTGGTTTTGGACGACTGTAACCGAGTAGGACAATCTAGCAGGTAACTGTAATGGACTGGTCCTTGTTGTAGTGGTAGGCAATAGGCGTAGGCAATAGGCGAAGACAATAGGCGAAAACAATAGGCGCAACCAATAGGTGTTCTCTATGTACCTCCACGTCAGTCTGTATTTATGGCTGACACCAGCCAATCATATTACTGTGAGGGGGAACCCAGGTGTATGCATATTCATTACATCACAGGATCAAAAAGAGAATTTTCCAAACTTTTTCACCTTACAAAAGAAAAAAAATTCCCTGTTGTCTGTCACACTCGCTTATTTTGACATTATTTTATATAGTTCTCTATCCTGGCAAAAGAATCTTGTTTTCTATATTACTTTAGAGAAATTTTTGCAAGTGTAACATTATAGACTTCCAATAACGTAAGACGTTTTATTCTTACGTTATTGTAAGTCTATAATGTATATGCAAGTTTATTTTTTATTTACCTCCAGACTCCGTCAACTAATATCGGTGAGTGGGTGTTTGGCTCCTAAGGTAGATTGTTCAGCTGGCGAGGATGCAAGAGTCTCTTTTCTCTCTTCCCTCTCAGGTAGATGCTTATATATCTACCTGTTACACGGTTTGTCCCACATGGTCACACTCTAAGTGCAGCTGGGTCGACCAGGTGTTTATATGTCGACAAAAGCCACTGGCAATCTGCAAGTTTCTGATAGGCAGCCTGTGGCTTGGAGGGCATCTTTCAGGCCGACCCGCTCTTGCACCTGGTTTCTTTGACGTGACAGTTCGAAGTTAGCATCAGCTAAGGTGAGCCCATTTTATATTAGGGTCATCGTACCTGACACCCTCCCAGAACAAAGAGTCCACATTGATATTAAATTCGAATTCACATCATCTGGTATTTCCTGGCGGGAATTACACACTACACAAGAAATAGAGCGGTATTTAAATTCTCTGCTGCTATGTATCGCGTCCATAGGAAATATAAAACTATGCACGGTTGATTTGTAGATATTTATTTGAAAACTTTACCGAATAAATTAGCTTTTTTAACAATTTTCTTGATATATATTTTCAGTTGCTTGAGTCAGGTTGGTTAATTAACTATATATCAACCCACGCTGGGTTATTTAAGGCGAATATAAAACTTAGGGGACAAGAATCACAAGAAAATGATAGAAAGGCAGAGAGATCTGGTTTGCACTAGAATCAGAAAGCAAGATACCGGATATGTTTTACACCAGAGACAAAGAGATAGACATAGGTCCGGTTTACACCATAGCCAAAATGGTAGACACGGGTCTGGTTTACACCATAGTCAAAAAGGTAGACACAGGTCTGGTTTACACCAGTATCAAAAAGGTAGATACACGTCTGGTTTACGCTAGAGTTAAAAAGGTAGACACATGTCAGGATAGCACCAGAGTAAAAAAATTAGACTTAGGTCCGTTTTACAATAGTGTCAAGTTGGTAGACACAAGTTCGGTTTACAATAGTGTCAAGGTAGACACAAGTTCGGTTTCAATAGTGTCAAGCTGGTAGACTCAAGTTCGGTTTCAATAGTGTCAAGTTGGTAGACACAAGTTCGGTTTCAATAGTGTCAAGTTGGTAGACACAAGTTCGGTTTACAATAGTGTCAAGGTAGACACAAGTTCGGTTTCAATAGTGTCAAGCTGGTAGACTCAAGTTCGGTTTCAATAGTGTCAAGTTGGTAGACACAAGTTCGGTTTCAATAGTGTCAAGTTGGTAGACACAAGTTCAGTTTACAATAGTGTCAAGGTAGACACAAGTTCGGTTTCAATAGTGTCAAGCTGGTAGACTCAAGTTCGGTTTCAATAGTGTCAAGTTGGTAGACACAAGTTCGGTTTCAATAGTGTCAAGTTGGTAGACACAAATTCGGTTTACAATAGAATCAAAAAGCTAGACACACATCGTACACCAATGTCACAAATGTAGACACAGATTCAGTTTATACCCGAATAGCAGCAGGTTTGGTTTACACCGTAGTTCAGAAGGCACACAGAGACCTGGCTTAAATCCGACTCAAAACGTAAGGCACATGTGCCTGTTTAAACCAGAATCAAAACGATATACCAGATTCAAAAAGGTAATTACAGTTCTGTCTTACACCAGTTGAAAAGTTAGACAGAGCACCGAGTTAAAATAGTAGACACAGGTCCAGCCTACAACAAAGTAAAAAAGTAGACATTAGTTGTTTTTATACCTGTGTTTCTAAGTACCGGACCGGAAGTGGTCTATTTGGGGATGGATTTAACCCTTGTCAAGCAATGCAGTCAGCGTATTCTAAGCTCTGCGACTGGGTAATAATTTTTAGTGTAATATATTGAAAGGTAATTGGTACATTATACTCTTACAATGGAGGTTTTTTTTTTGTTTTTTGTTGTTTTTTTTTTTTTTTTTTTTGTTATGAATGAATAAATCCAATGAAAACCTAATAGCAAGAAGTGTCGTATTGCGCATCGTTTCAATTTTTGAATAATTAAGTTATATAATTTTTAGCGTAGGCAGAAAGAGTGTAAGAAAGAGAAGATGGAGAAAGGAAAATGGTAGACAGAGAACAGCCGGGAGAACGCCCGAGGGGGAAAAAAGAGTTGGCTCATGAAAAGAAATAAAACAGATGGTTTCATGAGAACGTTTTAAATAGTTGCATATGTGTTTTTATTTCGATCAAATTAGAAGTAAGAACAAAAAAGAAAAGACAAGAATATAATAAAGGCGTTGGTCGCTTGTTTGGATGAAAAATGCGAAAACTACTTCACCAGCTAACACAACAATAGTTTAATTTTGTCTATTTTTTATTTCTTGAAAGCGAGGGCATTATTACACATAAAAATAGAAACCTTCGATAAAACAAACAAGACCTATTCTAATCGGGCATAATTGCAGAAACGGGAGGATTTTTTTTTCATGTTTTATTATCTAGTAATTTATTTTTATTTTCTGAAAATTATTTGTAATCAATAAAGTACATACTTGAAGGAAGGATAAGATATATACCAGGGGGGATTATGCCGAGTGGGAAACACGAATAATGTAACGTTTATTGGCGAAGTCGTTGTACAGAGTTCAATTTCAGGTCGATTCTCTTTCGTTCACTTTGCGCTAATGAAAAAGCTAAAAATCCATCTGACTCCAGCTATGGGTAAAATAGCAGGACATTCTAGGATTACTTTCCTTGAGGTGGCAACCAATGTAGGAGAATGAAAAGTCTGAATTCAAAACCAATCAGAAGAGGGAAAGGCTCCGTCTGACTATCTGACCCACCTTTGCTGCTAATGACTGCCTTACATGTTGTTCCTTGACAATTCTAATGTGTTACGGAGTTCGTGGCGTAGCGATATCTAATTACCACAGTTTCTTTCGATGTGACTAAAACATTCGTATCACTTTACAAAGTGATACGAATGTTGTCTTTGTTTTCATTTACCAAATGACATGCATTGATGGAAGGCAAAATTGTGCATTACATTTGGTTGACGTTTTTTGTTCAAATTCTCTAAACTTTGGTGTATCTCATTGCACAGTGTTTTTTTTATAATTGCTTTAGACTTTAAAAACGCTGTAATTTTTTTTAAATAGAAAGAAGTGTGAAAATTTGATGTGCTTTTCAAGGTCTGCACAGATGTGTAAATTGAGAACGCAGCGTAAATTGAATTTGAAAATGTCGTCATGTTCCTAATGAAAATGAAAAATCAAAGAGGAAAGGGAAAAAGCCAATGATTAGCATAATGAAAACGAAAACAAACAAAATAATAATGGCACGTTAACCATTTCCATTTGAAACACTTAATGACTCCCAAAATTAAGTTTTTATTTCCATATACAAAATTTCATTTTCAAATCACTCAGCAAATGAGAAAATCAATCTACAAAAAAGACACACACACACACACACACACATATATATCAATCTGTTCATTATCTCTCTATCGATCTCAGTATGTTCATATCTATCTATCTATCTATCTATCTATCTATCTATCTATAAGTAAGTAATTATAATACTTCATCTCAGAGATATAGATGTCTGAGATGAGGTATTATGATTACTTACATTATTTACATTATCCTCATCTTCATTTCGTTTCGGCCGTTGTACACTCCGGCCTTTTTCATGTGACTGAAATTTCTAACCGAACTCTTTATTTCTTCCATCGAGGCAGATTGTTCTAGTTCCACGTGACATAAAGAGGTTGGTTAGATACACTGACTAGACCCAAAGAGTTGTGAGTTAAATACCAGGCTACATCAGTGGTGAACCAAAAACTGTGAGAGTTGAGTTAAAGGGAAATAACTGAGAATTCCAGAAGAGGCATGGCACGTGGAATAAAAACAATCTAACCCGGTGGACGAATTAAAAGATTCGGTTCGAAATTCCAATCACCTGAAGAAAGCCGTTGCATACGACGGCGGAAACATGGTGAACATGGCAATGAAGATGAGGATAACAGTCTGAATAAGGTAATGTAACTCTCTCGGTCTGTTCATATCTATCCGTCTACCTACCTACCTACCTACCTACCTACCTACCTAGCTAGCTAGATAGCTGTTATGGTCCGGTTCCTTGTACCACGGTGATAGTCCAAGGTAGAACCAATAAAGGAGAACTCGAAGGCGGATATGGAATAACACAGGTATATTACAAACAGGAATATATACAGAGAAGTAGAAAGTGTTACTACGAACAATCAGGTTTAGTAGTAATTGTCTGAACGCGACTCTGTTTCGGACTGCCTCTGACTCGACTGACTGACTCGCTCGCTCTGACTGACTGACAGACTTCTGACGGACTTCACTCCGGACTTCAGACTGAACAGTATTTAGTCACCCCCCACCCACGAGGGCATCATGTGGCACAAGGCCGGTTTAACGTGGGATCTCCGAGCCAGTGGGCTCGGCAAAAAATATGCCCTTTGAACCCGTATTAACGGGTTCAGGGTCGGTTTACCTCCCCGAAAGAGACTCCGCCCTTCGGCGTAGCCTCGTTCGGGTTCTTCCCCGTCCGAAGGCAGAGAGTTCAACCGATCAGCCGATCAGCCGGTCGCCCGACTTCGGTCTGAACTTTCTGCTTCCTTTTGAGGCGCAGTATTTATTATGTATGGAATAGTCCATTATGTTATTATGGGTAAGGTCCCATAACAATAGCTATAGTGAATGAGTTAGGTAAGCATGAAGATAGCTAGCTACCTTCATGATAGCTATCTTCATGCTTACCTAACTCATTCACTATATATATATATATATATATATATATATATATATATATATAGTGACATAAAAATTACTGTAATATTTTAGACGCTGTTCAATGTGTGCGTGTATCCCTAGGTTAAAAAGCTTTTATACCGTATATATATTATATATATATATATATATATATATATATATATATATATATATATATATATAATAAATGAGAAAATGTCTCCGTATGTCAAACTTTTTCAATAAAAAGGGACACAACTCTCTAACTTTCAAATATCTCACCTTCTTTATCTATCTTCTATATACTAAATGCGAAAATGCCTTGTCTCAAGAATCCACAATTTCATGGATTCAAACTGGCTTTGACATTGCCATTATAGCTCTCAAGAATCAAACTGTGGCTAGTATCAACTGGAAATTTCTCCCAGAAATTCCAAAGGAAAGCATGAAGTGGTTGAACAAAGACAGGCAGTGAATTATCCAATAGAATTCCTGAACTCATTGAATCCTCCTGGAATGGCATTGAAGCCGGAACTAAATGAAAGTTTGCGAGTTATGCCACTGAGAAATCTGGATCCTCCAAAGCTTTGTAATGGAACAAGGTTAATTGTCAAGAAGATACTTCCTCATCTCTTGGAGGCAGAGATCCTTACTGGTCCAGGAAAGGAAGAAAGAGTTTTAATTCCAAGAATCCGTTTAATTCCTCCAAATCTTCCTTCTGGGTTCAAAAGACTTCAATTTCTAGTTAGAGTGAGCTATGCAATGTCAATCAATAAGTCCCAAGGACAAACATTGAAAGTAACTGGACTTCATTTGATGGAACCCAGCTTTTCTCACGGCCAGCTCTATTTTGGTTGTTCAAGGGTTGGGGATGGAAACAAACTATTTGTATTGACCCTGAATGGAAAAATCAAGAATGTTGGTTATTCTGAAGCTTTAGACAAATGATATCATTGTTTTGATAAAAACTGCTAATTGTTTAAAAAATATTGATCAAGTTTAATAAAATTTAATATGTACTTAATGCATGAAGTGTAACTGTTGGGTTGAATCCCCAATCCAGAGCCGTCCGCAGTAGCTAGCTTAAATGCCACCTGACACGGCGGCTTTTAAGTTAGCATATATATATATATATATATATATATATATATATATATATATATATAGAGAGAGAGAGAGAGATTACTATAAACGTTGATTTTAGTAGGTACATATGTTTCAGCTGCTGTCCATGGTTTTTCATTTATTTTCTTTGACAGTGTGATATATATATATATATATATATATGTGTGTGTGTGTGTGTGTGTGTATGTGTGTGTTCGTGTGTGTGTGTGTGTGTGTACAGGGTGTACCAAAAATACGTTTACAAACTTTGGAGGCGGGTTCCTCAGACCAAAACAAGGACAAAAGTCCAAATAAACATATGCCCGCAAATCCTTCCTTTCGTTTTTGAGTTATTAAATTTAAAGCGAATTAACGGTAGATGGCGCTCTGTTGATATGTAGACTAGGTTACTTTTGTCATTCGTGTACATTTGTGGCTAGACTGTTTTCAATGTTTAACGTTTGTAATAGTGAGTTAACTCAGAAGTGTTCCATTTAAAATGACAGGATATTCATATCGTGAGCAGGCAGATATGATTTTGACACACGGCTGCGCGGATAGTAGTTGGCACAAGGCTGTATCAGATTGCGTTTCCAGATCGGAAGCAGCCGATTCAAGCAGCCTTTGCTGCAGTTTATTGTCGCGTTGCTGCGACAGGATCTGAGGCACCACAAAGTATGGATCGAGGAAGACCGAAATCCGCTCGTACGCCTGACCACGAAGAGCACATTCTACGGACTGTCAGAGATGATCCAGATATCAGCACACGTTAAGTGGACCTAGCACGTCGGACATCACATAATACCACATGGATGGTACTTCAAGAGCATCTCTTGTATCTGTATCAATGTGTGCAGGGTCTGCCATAGGAGAACTTTTGCAATGGTTGATTGCACAAACTGCCGATCCGTTGTTTGTCTTTTCCGCCATGTTTACGGATGAGGAAACATTTGGAAGCGATGGAATAACAAATTTATCCAAACAACATTTGTAAGCGGATCGGAATCCTCGTGGTGCAATACGGGCTAGACATCTGCATCAGTTTACGATTAATGTGTGGGCTGGAATTTAGGTGACTCTGGTAGGTCCATATGTTCTCCCGTCACGTCTTACAGATGTCTACAGGGACTTTGTTTCGAACACACTTACAGACCTGCTAGAAGATGTACCCCTGCTAATTTTAGTCACATTGGAAAAGGTATGAATCCTCTTCTTCCCCCCCTCCTAGCTATGGGTAAATAGCAGAACAGACCGGGTTCTATAGCTTTGGATGGCAGCTGCTCTACCGCAGAAAGAAATGGCAACCTACTACTGCGGGAAAAAATCTGCCTCGTCAGTCATGTATCGAAAGATACATGATCGCCTAAGCGTGTATCCCGCATGGCACATAACTGACTGACTGATGCTAAAACTACAATAATCTAGTAAATTTATAATTGCCTCTCCTAAAAATGTCTCAAAACTTCTGGAATGCACCTTGTATACGCAATGAACTCCGTCAGTAGGAAAAATGTTTCTCTTCCCCATGACAACGCGAGGCCGCTTACAGCAAGAATAACTTGAAAAAAAAAAAAAACAACTGAAAAGTGGTTAGTCTGTGCTAGTACACCAGCCATGTGAAATTGACTTTGTATCAACCAGTTATTACCTTTGTCGATCTCTGCAGGATGCATTGATGAGTAAAACGTTTTCGAATCAAAAACCGTATTCAGGAGTTTGGCATCAGCAGCTGCTGAATTTGACTAAAAACGTATCAAAGAGCTGATTGGTTAGTGGCAACAAGTCGTTGCAAATAATAGTGAATATATAACTGAATGAAATGTAATTGCACTTTGTTTTGGGGTGAATAAAGTTGCTAAACAAAAATGGAAATTATTTATGACTAAATCAAATAATATATTAGTAATTAGCCAAGAGAGAGAAAGAGAAAAAAAAAGAGAGAAAGATGAATATCGTTTGAAATAAGTAGACATATATAAGGACCTAAAAGGGAATTATTTTTTTTTATATAGACAGCTGTCTTTAAATAGCTGCAGTATTGAGGTGCATTGTAAATCATCTTTATTAAAAAACAGATTATTATCTTTCCCGATCGCTGCAAAACGCAGTGATGGGGGAAATTTTTCTCGAATGAAAACCAGAGTTAAGTGTTCGTCGAAAATCTTTTCACAACAAAACCACTGGAATTTTACTCAAGAGATATTGAAGGTAAGGGGCAGAAAGTCATCGCAGATAATGGTGAAAATTGAATAAAATGTAACTGCACTTTATTTTTTGAAGAATAAAGTTGATAAGCCAAAACGGAAATTATTTATGACTCAATCAAATACTTCATATATAAGCGTCAATTTTTTATGGAACATTTCAATTGGTTTATCTATAAAGCGCGCGTGTGTTCATAGATACTCACCTTCATATACTTGCATAAGAGTTGGGATCAAATGCAAATCAAATATGGATCGGTACCCGACAGAATTATAAGATAAAGAACGAATAGTAACGTTTATCAATCTAACATTTTTCACTTTTTTAATATTATTCTCTAATGAAGCTTTAATAAAAGTGAAACATGTTAGATTGATAAACATTTCCAGAGTGTTCTTTATATATATATATATATATATATATATATATATATATATATATATATAGATAAAAGAACAAAGAACAAAGACAAGA